GTACGGAAGTTTGAGCAGTCTTTCGCATTTCCCTTTTTTGGTATGGGGATATAAGTTGATTTTTCCAGTCTGATGGCCATTCTTGTGTTTTCCATATTTGCTGGCAAATGGCATGCATCACCTTGACAGCATCATCTTTTAAGATTTTAAACAGTTAAGCTGGGATCTCATCATGTCCTGCTGCATGCTTTAGCAATGCTTCTAAAGGCCCATTCAACTTCACTCCTCAGGATGTCTGGTTCTAATTCATTCACCACACCGTCAAAACTATCCTCAATATTATTATCCTTCCTATACAGATCTTCTGTATAGTCTCGCCACCTTCTCTTGATCTCTTCAGCTTCTGTTAGGTCCCTGCCATCTTTGTTTCTTATTATACCAATTTTTGCCTGAAATTTACCTCCAATGTTTCTAATTTTCTGGAAGAGGTCTCTTGTCCTTCCTATTCTGTTGTCTTCTTCCACTTCCATGCATTGCTTATTTAAAAATAGTTCCTTATCTCTTCTGGCTAACTCTGGAATTGCGCATTTAACTGGGCATATCTCCCCTTATCCCTGTTTCCTTTTGCTTTCCTCCTTTCTTGGGCTACTTCCAGTGTCTCAGCAGACAACCATTTTGCCTTCTTGGTTTTCTTTTTCTTTGGGACGTACTTTGTTGCCGCCTCCTGAACAATGTCTCGGACTTCTGTCCATAGTTCTTCTGGGACTCTGTTTACTAAATCTAGTCCTTCAAATCTGTTCTTCACTTCCACTGGATATTCGCTAGGAATGTTAGTGAGATCATATCTAACTGGTCTGTGTATTTTCCCTGATCTCTTTAGTTTTATTCTAAATTGGGCAATAAGAAGTTCGTGATCTGAGCTACAGTCAGCCCCAGGTCTTGTTTTCACCGACTGGATGTATGTCCGCCACCTTTGGCTGCAAAGGATGTAGTCAATCTGATTTCGGTGTTGACCGTCTGGTGAGGTCCATGTGTAAAGCCGTCTTTAGGTTGTTGGAAGAGAGTATTCGTTATACACAGCGAGTTTTCCTGGCAAAATTCTATCAGCCTGCGTCCCGCTTCATTTTGTTCTCCCAGACCATGCTTGCCTGTGATCCCAGTTGTCATTTGACTTCCCACCTTGGCATTCAAGTCTCCTGTAATGAAAATAATGTCTCTTTTTGGTGTATTATCCAGTAGGTCCTGCAGATCCTCATAGAACTGATCTACTTCTGCTTCTTCAGCAGCTGTGGTTGGGGCGTATATTTGGATCACTGTAATGTTGAAAGGCTTTCCTTGCACTCGAATTGAGATCATTCTGTCATTTTTTGGGTTGTATCCAAGCACCGCTTTAGCGAATTTCTTATTAATTATGAAGGCTACTCCATTTCTTTGATGTTCCTCTTGTCCGCAGTAGTAGATCTGGTGGTCATCTGATGTGAAGTGGCCCATTCCAGTCCACTTCAGTTCGCTGACCCCCAGAATGTCTATCTTTAGTCTTGACAGCCCCCCAGAATGTCTATATTTAGTCTTGACATCTCACCAATAACAACATCCAATTTGCCCTGGCTCATAGATCTTACATTCCAGTTCCTATGGTGTGTTGAGCTTTAGAGCATCGGATTCGTCGTTCACCTCCAGTACCGTCGGCCGCTAGCCTTCCTTTCGGCTTTGAGCTAGCTGCGTCATCACATCTGGGGCTAGTTGAACTTATCCTCTGCTCCTCCCCAGTAGCATTTTGGCCATCTTCCGACCTGGGAGTCCCATCTTCCATTGGCATACCGACATATCTCTGGTTGTACTGGTCCATTTAGTTTTCTTGGCAAGGATACTGGAGTGGTTTGCCATTGCCTTCCCCAGGGATCACGCTTGGTCTGACCTCTCTGCCACAACCGTCCCGTCTTGGGTGTCCCTTCACGGTTTCGATCATGACATCATTGAGGTGCTCAAGCTCCAGCGCCCCGACAAGGCGGTGATCCTTTGCTGGAGCTTGTAATGTATAGTTATATTCTATAATAAAGGTTTTTTTTTTTTTTTACAAAAAAACCATTTTGCTAATTATCCTTGTGATGGTTAATAACTCTTCAATCAGTTCTTGTGGGTTTTTTCGGGCTATATGGCCATGTTCTAGAGGCATTTCTCCTGACGTTTCGCCTGCATCTATGGCAAGCATCCTCAGAGGTGAGGTCTGCTGGAACTGGGAAAAAGGGGTTTATATATCTGTGGAATGACCAGGGTGAGACAAAGGGCTTTTGTAAATTGGGCTAGGTGTGAATCTTTCAACTGACCACCTTGATTAGCATACAATGGGCTGACTGTGCCTGGAGCAAACTCTTCTTGAAAGGTGATTAGATGTCCCTGCCTGTTTTTCTCTTTGCTGTTTTTGCTGTTGCAATTTTAGAATTTTTTAATACTGGTAGCCAGATTTTGTTCATTTTCATGGTTTCTTCCTTTCTGTTGAAATTGTCCACATGTTTGTGGATTTCAATGGCTTCTCTGTGTAGTCTGACATGGTGGTTGTGAGAGTGGTCCAGCATTTCTGTGTTCTCAAATAATATGCTGTGTCCAGGTTGGTTCATCAGGTGCTCTGCTATGGCTGATTGCTCTGGTTGGAGTAGTCTGCAGTGCCTTTCATGTTCCTTGATTCTTGTTTGGGCGCTGCGTTTGGTGGTCCCTATGTAGACTTGTCCACAGCTGCATGGTATATGGTAGACTCAGCCATGAAAGCCTTCGACAATACATTCTAAAAGATGTTTTTAGAGCTTTACTTCTAAGGGCCCATCTACATAGCACCTGAAACATGGAAGTTATCAGGTCAAAAGGGGGGGTGGCTACATGACACTAGCGGTAAATCTGTGCCGATTCCCTGCAACATACAAACAACAGAGGGTAAAAGGGTCCCCTTTTATCCAAATTCTGGCCAGAAAATTTACATATTTGCATCACTGTATTTCCCTGGACTTGCAAAAACAAAAACACGTGATTTCATTCCTTCCCCCTTGTAGAGATTGCTCGAACAATATGCCCATTTTTTAAAAGCCCCAAACAGCTGACCAGCTGATCAGGCTGTGAAATGGTCACACTGCTGATAAAGAAAGTATGAATGGAGAGCATACAGAACTCTCTGAAACTCTTTATTTTAAACTTTATAATATTAAACAGAGCTTGAATAAACAATTGGGGAAAGAGAAATCCCAAAGAAGTTTAAAAAAACAAAACAAATCTCTGTTATGTGCTGAACCTCATACGCACACTTGTGAACCTGCTTATATTTATATTTAGATATTTGCATGTGTACATATAGAGTCCAGAACATAACAGAGTGTTTTTTTTAAAAAAAAACTTCCTCCGGATGTCCCCCGTTCACCCTCCATCTTGTTCCGATACAGAGGACATCTGTGAGGACGGCTGGGGACCCCAATCCCAGAACTGACAGATCTCTGTGTGGACCTGCTCTCAGGTCCCAGGATTTTTTGTCTACTATTTAAAACCCACATTTTTGTGCTGTCTGGAAGCGCTCTAAGTGATAAATGTTGGCAAACAGTAAAACTATTTGATGCATTTTGCAAGTACATTTGGAAACACAATAATTCTGAACTGCTATCACAGCAGTAGAAAATGCTCGAGAATATCAATGAACCTCTGCTAGTCTGAAATATAAAACACAATAGTTCTAACAACCATATGCTATAACAAAAGCAGAGTGGAAGCTTTGATACATATATTGTGTCTGCATGATATGCCTAATACAGACATCACAGGCTCTTAATTCACAAAGCCAACTGAATACTGAATTCATGTTTCAAATTAATACTGATGAAATGATCTCTTGCTTACTGATGATGCAGGGTTAATGATCCTTTGAATGTCAAATTTTCAACCATACATAGAGAATTCAATTAACAGTCAATTTCAATTCTCCCTCAAATTAACTCATTTCTATATTGTCGAAGGCTTTCATGGCCGGAATCACTGGGTTGTTGTAGGGTTTTTTGGGCTGTTTTTCCATGTTCTAGAAGCATTCTCTCCTAACGTTTCACCTGCACCTATGGCAGGCATCCTCAGAGGTTGTGAGACCTCACAACCTCTGAGGATGCCTGGCATAGATGAAGGTGAAACGTCAGGAGAGAATGCTTCTAGAACATGGAAAAACAGCCCAAAAAACCCTACAACAACCTAGTAACTAATTCCTATCCCACCATACTTTTAGAAGTCCAAGAAATTGCTAAAACAATGAATTAACAGTAGACAGCAAAGTCACTGGCAAGAAGAGGCCAATATGAAATAAAATTCCATGCTGTAAATAGCTATGAATATTCTGGGTGCTACTAGATAAAGCTGCTTATTCAAACAATATCATTTTCCACTTGTAACACTTCCATATTCACAAAGCTTTGTAGTTTACTGTTTTGGATTACAACTCCCAGCATCCTCCCTCTCTCAGCATTACAACCAACTATGCTTCCTGATATTTTGAGGGCTTGTAGTCTCCAGAAAAAGTTATCATTCCAATCTCTAAAAAAGGAGAGGAGAGCACAGAACATTTGAAGCTTTGCTTGCTCAGACATGCCTTAATATCATAATAACAGTATCTTAATATTTTGTTCCTAGTTAAGGACAGAGTTGCTATGATATACAAAATACTCCTTCTGGCAGGTCAAATTGATTATAATACATAGGGAGTTGGTTCTTAGTTTTCCAAATGCACAATTTAAGGAAATACAACTCTGTTTAATGAAACAGGTCTGGCATGGTCTTTAATTCTGGAACATTGGGCTATTATACATATCACGTGATTTTAACCATTGTTGTTCTGCTAAACAGTAGACTTTATTATGCCTAAACATTTAAAGAAATGATAAATATTATGACCAGGTGATACCAAGGAGTGGGAGGACAGTATAGTAAGTCCTATACTCTTTTACTTGAGCATAAGAAGCTTAATACAGTCCACAGAATTTATTTCTGAGTAGAAATAAACTGGATTGCATCATAAAAGCCTTGCGTTGTTTGTTACTTACTGAGCACTACTGCAACATCTGCTTTATTCTTGAATTCCACAATACAGCACCGCTCCAGAATCACTAATTCAGAGGCTTCACAACTCTGTGCAAAAACAAAAACAAATAATTTTAATGTTTTTTAAAATATGGGCTTCCCAACTTGATCTGTACATTCATGTTATTCCACAACAAGATAGAACAAACATATCAAAATGCCTAAATCAAATAACTCTCATTGAACAATCTGTTTTACTGCTTCAAGTAACTTGATCCAGTAATGATTATTAATTTTGGTGTGTGTACCTTCAAGTTGTTTCTGACTTCTGATAGCCTCCAAGGCAAACCTTAGAGGTTTCCTTGGCAATATTTATTCAGAAGGGGTTTACCAAAAGGCGTTTCCTCTAATGCTGAAAGATTGTGACTTGTCCAAAGTCACCCAATGGGTTTCCATGGCTGAATGAGGATTTGAACACTGGCATCCCAATTCAATATCTAAATCACTACACTATATGGGCTCTCTGGTACAGGGATATTAGAGTAGACCCAATGTGGAGCAGTGGCTGACTATTGGATTAGGACTCTATGAAACTAGGTTCTGAATCTCCACCTGGCTATGGGACTCCAACAGATCACTTTGGGAAAGTCACACGTTCTCCACCTTAGAGGAAAACAAAGGAAAATCTCTGCTCAATACATCTGCCATGTTGGAATCAACTTGAAGGCACACAGCAACAGCAACAAGACTATTAGTAAACAGTATTATAAATACTGCAGCATCTCCTACACACAGGATCTTTTCTCTTGAAAAGGGACAAGTGGAACAGAAGAACCTTTATACACTCAAAGTCACTGTTAAGTACCCCTCTTCCTCAAATATTATTTAAAAGTGAAATAGCTTTCCCAACCATGATGTCAAAAGAACAATCTTTACCACAGTGAAACATTCACAACCATCAGATTGTTCTGAATTTCATTAACTTTCTGCTTCAGTTAGGCTTTACTAAATATGAAACTTTCTCTGTATTACAGAATCTGTCATAAGTTTGAAAAAATATTTTAAACCACAAACACAGGTGACTTTTTACAGCTTGAACTGAATGATGTCAATTGTTCAAACATTGCCTTTATCAAAAAGTCATGGATATTGGCTGGTCAAAAGTTTTTTTCAAAAGTTGTTTTGAACTATTTGCAGTTTTGAGGCATCTGCTTCTCTTCACTATTAAGCTGCAGAACAAATATAAGAAAATCAGTATACTACGAAATTCTTCAAGTCAGAGCAATCAATTACTTTCGTATATGCTAACAGTTAATCTGGTAATCCATTTTTCATAACAACTTTCTTAACTAGTTAATCACATTTTAGAACATCTACACTGAAGTGGTTATCACATCAAAAACAAAAAAAATCTCAGTTGGAGACACATCAATATACCTTAGGGTTTAGATTTTTAAAAGAACTGAAATGCAATGGGAAGGGGCTTATTAGATCACAAATAATGCTAAATGATATAAACTGAAGAATTGTGTGGACAGGGTGAGATTACTCCGAACAAAAATACACATTCCTCAATAAATAAATATTCCTCAATATTTTTCTCATAACACTTGAGCAATACTTTCTATACAGCAAGGAACCCATTTCTAAAATTTTAAATACATGCACATAGACATTTCTATGTATTTTGCAAAAAATCTGTTTTAGAAGAACTGTATGTATCTAACCACTTGGAAATGGCACTAATTTATACACCAGGGAAACAAATACACACTGCCAGTGGAGCCAAAGAGTAGAGTTGATTTAATGAATCACCCCAGGCATCTAACCACGTGCCTTTCACTTTTAAACAGGCACACAAAATGTTACCTCATTTAGGGAACTATAAGGAATGCTTAAAGCTCCTTGCTGAAAGAAACAAGTCTACCCAATTAAACATGCAAATAGCTTCTTGGTTTTGCAAGATGGGTAGGATTCAAAATCGAAGCCATTTGAGATAAAACTGGATTTTCTGGTCAATATGTCACTCCCTAGACAAACTGTCTTTAGACAAAATCCATCTGTACAAGCAAACAGCTCATGTTTTCTGGCAATGTATTAGGCAGAAGCAGGATTAAATCCAGTAGGTACATTCCTAACACTAGTGTACTCTCTTGACACAACAACACATATTAAATGTGTTATATTACTGCTAATCTCAATAATCTGGAGGTCAGTTGTGACCAGCAGTCCTGCGGAATTTGAAGAGGCACAAGTGGAGGACAAAAGGGAGAAATGTGCCAAGAGAAAGGTGCATCAAGCCAACCCTGACCGGGACCACCTTTCACCTGGAAACCGATTTTCTCTCTGTAGAAGAACATGTGGATTAGGAATAGGGCTCCACAGTCACCTATGCATCCACTGCCAAGACACTACACTTGGAAGTCCATCATACGTAAGTAATTATTAGTAATCTAATGCAAAGCTAGCAGCTACATTTTAAATTAAAAAAATAAACAAAATAGTATTCATTTCTTTCACAAATAAAATTAGGTAAATTAATATCCATTACTATTGATCTAATTCAATGGTCTGTTATTGTTAATCCTGAGTAGCCCTTTTAAAACAATGAGTCGTCTCAGATGAGGAATACCAATAGTATTCATGCCATTACTGCTCTCAAAGTACATCTCCTCATTTTGGTTATTAGTTGCCTAATTCAAATAAGAAATTAAATTTTATTGCAGATTAAAAATAAATAAATAACCCCCCTTTTCATAAAAGCACTATTTTTCTTAAGATTTAAAAAACAGTCTAATATTTTACAATGTTCAGACAAACTTTATCAGATATTTTTTATTCTAGTGAACTATTCTGCCAAGAAAAAGAACAGCAGATAGATATTCTGGAAGAAATCTCTCTACATTTAGGTAAAGGTAAAGATTTTCCCCTGACATTAAGTTTAGTCATGTCTGACTCTGGGAGTTAGTGCTCATCTCCATTTCTAAGCCGAAAAGCCGGCGTTATTCGTAGACACCTCCAAGGTCATGTGGCAGGCATGACTGCATGGAGGGCTATTACCTTCCCACCGGAGCAGTACCTATTGATCTACTCACATTTGCATGTTTTCAAACTGCTAGGTTGACAAAAGCTGGGGCTGACAGCGGAAGCTCATGCCGCTCCCCGGATTCAAACCTGCAACCTTTCAGTCAACAAGTTTAGCAGCTCAGCGGTTTAACCCATTGTGCCAGCGGTGCATTTATTCCCTATTTATTTAATTATTTAAACATGCAACATGAACTGAGCTTCTCATACCATTAGATTGTTGTGCCCTAATAATACTGTCTAATATTATAAACTGATAAATTTCCACCAAGAGATGTAGTGGTTTGAGTGTTAATTGAGGACACTGGGAGACCAGGATTCCAATCCTTGCTCAGCCATGGAAGTCCGGTGAGTGACATTAGGCAAATTACATACTCTCTGCCTCAGCAGAAAACAAAAACCCCTCCTAACAAATCCTGCCAAGAAACAGTTTGCTTTAGGGTCGCCGTAAGTCAGAAATGACCTCAAGGTACACAACAACAACTCCCCACCATCTATTATTTTAAAGTTAGAAATAGATTTATCACCAAGACAATAACAAGCTCTCTCAAATATCAGGATGATATGAAATATGAATATTGATATTGTTATATCACAAAATATATTTTATGAAAAGCTTTGAATCCCCTTTGGGGAGGTAAAGTGGGATATAAATAAATATAATAATATGTCAAGGATTTTTTTACAAACAACAACAACACTGTTTGAAGATATGGTTAGCATATTTAGCATTGGAAAAAAATGTGTGAGTCATAGTAAACTGCAAGTACAGTGAGTTTTTAGCTCCAGGCAGTCTGTTGAAATCAACTTCATATAACCATAGTTACAGCAATCTGAAGATTCAGTACTGTCTGATCACTTTTCTATTACCTTGCTGAAATGAGATAATCTTCTCTTTCCAGGAGTCTGGACATTTCACAACAGACAGCAAATAACTGACACTTTATTGGCAATATCAGCAAAAACTTTTAAAAAGAAATAATAGCCAGCAATTCAATCGAGTTTGCAAGACAGGGAAAGAATACTGCTCACTCAAATAACAGTAAGATTTTGTAAGCGAATGTATGCAAAATGGACAGCCAGATTTCAAGAATCAGAAGAGACTAGAGGAGATTTATACAAAATGACTGCACCGTTCCCATTCTCCTCCCTTCAGTGTCCAGCTGAATAATGATTGATATAGCTGAGAAATACACCAGTACGGGCATTCTCCATTAAGCCTATTCTAATGGGGTAGACCTGATTTTTTTTTGGGGGGGGGGGGGGGCTTAATGAGCCCGAAACTGGGAAAGGGCCCTGCAATTTGCTGTGCCAATTGCTTTAAACTCCTAATACACAGTGGGTATTTTTTTGGTCACAAAAAATGGACAGATTTCAGAACACAGTCTTTCTCAGCATCTGTATTTTTAAATCCTATGCTAAGTTTTAAAAGACTCCTGGAACACTGTTACTAGCTGTAGAATCCATGAGCCTTTGGAGCCATCCATTTTTGGAAAGTGACCCAACTGACCCAGATCTCGGGCTCAGAGAGATTCTCCAGCTTTATCCTAAACAGCTTGGGAACATGTTACTTGAAAGACATACCTTCTCCGATAAAATAAAAGGCATCAGATTATGTCTGATCTTGGAAGCTAAACAGACTGAGTCCTGTTTAGCAGAGGTGCTATACGCTATGTTTCAGATGAAGGACCTGGAAAAACCACCTGAGTATTCGTTGTCTAAGAAATCCCTATGAAATTCATGGGGTTGCAAGAAGTGGACACAAACATACATCAGCTACCCTATAAAAAAAATCAGAGGTCGACTTAATGAACTAAGAAATGCAGAGAATGTACTTTGAGGGTTGGGAGCTTTTTCTACACTGCCATATAATCCAGTTTGAACTGCATTATAATGGTCAGAGTAGTCATATAATGCAGTTTGAACAGGATGGTACTGAATTATAGGAATTTAGGTAAAGGTAAAGGTTTCCCCTGACATTGTCTAGTCGTGTCTGACTCTGTGGGGTGGTGCTCATCTCCATT